CCTCACGTGTTTTTTCACGGGGCTGTGCCGAGACGGTGTAGCGGAGCATTATAGTCTTTTTTTGCTGCTGAGTGCGCAACCAGACTCGAAGGCAATCGGAGAGAAGGTGTCAACGTGGCCAATTCCCAGGTAGGCAGCGATGAACGATAGTCGTCTGAGCCAATCAGGAGGGTTACTACAACGGCCTCATAGCTCTTGTAGTGAACTCACTATCGGCCTGATATGCGTCTGACAGCATACTTCAACACCTCTTCCACGCTAATTAAATGGCCTGTGTGTCCTCATTACGCCGCCATCCTGTCAAATATGTTAAGCTCTGTCCGCTCAAGCCGGTCGCGGTATGAAAAGGAGATTTGTCATATAATATATATATATATATATATGTATATTATATATATATATATTTTTAGAAAGGTGAAGTTCTTTGGGAAACAGCAAAATTTTATTGTGAATTTTCGAGACTGGTTCCCCAGCTCGTCTTCAGACAACAGGTGTGCAAAAACAATTAACTTTTAGACTAAGTCTAGCAAAAGGAGTCCGTGATTGGTTAAGGTTGTCATCTCGGGATTGGCTGACTAGGTGACTAGTGACAAAGGGTCACGTCGGCGGATGGCTAGTTTTTGTTCGTTTATACGCGTCCCGAGTCGTCGGCCTGTATGACCAACATAGTCGCAAGAGCAGTTGGCACACGGAATGCGGTAGATGACATTGCTTTGCTGCTCTTTGGGTACGGGGTCTTTTACATGGGATAGCGTTGCGCGTTAGGGAGGACGCCGGCTTGTGGGCAATGAAGATGCCAAACCGATTTAGTTGTCGGGCGATCGCTTCGGAAATGCCCTGTATGTAGGGGAGTGAGAAGAATTTCCGTATTTCTGGTCCCTCATTAGGACCAGTGCTTTGTGGTTGTCTGCGATGTCTGAGACAGTTTTTCACAAAGCTGATCGGGTACCCGTTGAGCCGGAATAACCGATACAAGAAAGTGAGTTCTCTCTTAAGCAGGTCATCGCTGCTTCAGTAACGATAGGCCCGGTGGAAAAGGGTTCGGACACAGCTCCTTTTATGAGCCGCAGGATGATTGCTTTCATAATTAAAAATGACGTCAGCACTGGAGTCTTTTCGGTAGACACTCGTTGCAAGACCGCCATCACTGAGCGTTAGGATACTAACGTCTAGAAACGGGAGAAGGCCTCCTGTTGCCTCTTCGCGAGTAAACTGGATAGCTGGGAAGACGCTATTCAGACTCAGATGCAGTTGCTCAATTTCACAGGTCTTCATGATAACAAACGTATCATCTACGTATCGGAGCCACATATTTGGCTTAAAGGTTCGCATAACTTCCCCTTCTAGTTGTTGTAGTACCAGTTCAGCTAGCAGACCTGATATTGGCGAGCCCATTGGTGTACCCCTAACCTGTTGATAAAACTTTCCATCGAATTGGCAGTAGTTCTTGAGACAGAGTCTAAGAAGTTCTGAAATGTGTTCTAGAGGAATGTTGTTTGGATTATCTTGCAGGCGTCGGGTTACGCTCTCAATCGCTAGGTCATGTGGTATTGAGGAGAACAGGGCAACCACATCAAACGATAGAATACACTCATCAGGACTTACTTTGAGGCCTTGGATCTTCTGGAGAAATGCCTGAGAGTTTTTGATGCTATATTGTGATCCATTGGCAAGGTGCTTCAGTTGCCTGTATAACCATTTAGCGAGGTTGTAGGTGGGCGATCCAATAAGCGGCACTATGATCCGCAATGGCGCACCTTCTTTGTGAACCTTTGGGAGGCCATATGCATGGGCTATTCGGGGGTCGTTGAGAGTCATAAGTCTGGAGTCATTGGGAGTTATGAGCTTCAGTCGAGTGAGCTCATTCACCTTCTTTTTTATAGCTACGGCTTGCTTTTTAGTCGGATCCTCCGCGAGTGGTGTGTAGGCTTCCCTGTCGTTAAAGACTTGGTTCGCCTTGTTGACGTAATCACTCTTTTCCATGATGACGGTCGCGCCACCTTTGTCAGCAGACACAATCACTATGCTGTCGTCTGTCTTGAGAGATTGTAACCCCTTTTCTTCATCGATGGGCAGGACTTGGTGGTGCTTCTTTTGTCGAAGTAGACCGGTGGCACAGCTGCGTATGTCCGCGCGCATGTCTTCAGCCACAGCAGAGGTCAGTAAAATAGATTAAAGGTTCGCTAGGAAGTTTGTGGGCGCAGCATCAGTGGGGCTGAATTTCGTTCCTTTAGATAAAAGACTAAGTTCAGCGGATGTTAGACTCCTTTTAGAAAGACTAATAACTCTTGTCGATCTGCTGGTTTCGTTGACAGGGCGAAGAAGAGATTGCAGTTTCATTCGAAGCTCGGCTCACTTTTTCGTTCTGGCGTCTAAAGCGATGGCATTTATTCGCTGTAGCACGTCTGTGAACACATTTTCAGGCAATGTTGAGACACACTGGCTTCGGAGGTCGGATATTGTTTCATCAAATCTGCAAAGACGACGATGGACGTCTGATATAATGGCACTCAAAACGCGAAATCCGTATTTGCGTGCAAGTAGCCTCCCAGTGTCATTCGGCAGAGTGGGCTTGAAACGAAGAGACTTCGGTAGGATGCCATGATCGCGATATCGATGCAGGAACGACAGCTACTCGTAAGATGGGCGCTCACCGATCAGGTTACAGAACATGCTCGTTCTGTTGTGCCTTGGGGCTCATACTAGAACCCTCGCAGGCAGTCGCACAGCGACTAGTGATATATGTTGATAAGGTGATACCGACAAAGACAAGGGAGACCGGAATGGCCATTTCTGGCTTATTAGCCGTCATCTGCCAGTCATACCCAACCCCAAGTGTGGATCACTTGAGATTCGAACCCGGGATCTTTGGTCATGGAGATTGACGCTCTACCAGGCTGACCGAGGATTTAAGTGTGAGCCCCAAGGCACAACAGAAAGATCATGTTCTGTAACCTGATCGGTGAGCGCCCATCTGTCATAATTGATATTCCCGATCACAACCGACAGGATACCGGGCCCATGGCTCAATGGTAGAACATCAAACTCCATGACCAAAGATCCCGTTTTCGAATCTCATCTGATCCACACTTGGGGTTGGGTATGACTGGCTTATGACGGCTTATATGCTAGAAATGGCCATTCCGGTCTCCCTTGTCTTTGTCGGTATCACCTTATCAACATATATCACTAGTCGCTGAGCGACTGCCTGCGAGGGTTTAAGTATGAGCCCCAAATCACAACAGATCGATCATGTTCTGTAACCTGATCGGTGAGCGCCCATCTGTCATAATTGATATTCCCGATCACAGCCGACACGATAACGGGCCCGTGGCTCAATGGTAGAACATCAAACTCCATGGTCAAAGATCCCGAGTTCGAATCTCCTGTGATCCACACTTGGGGTTGGAGATGACTGGCTGATGACGGCTAATAAGCCAGAAATGGCCATTACAGTCTCCCTCTGTCGGTAATACCATTCTGCAGAAATATATATTATATATTATATATATATATATAAGCTGATTGGCATTATCGACAAAGACATGGGGGACTAGAATGGCCATTTCTGTCTGGGTGGGCTCGAGAATGAGCCCTTAAGGCACAGAGGAACGAGGGAGTTCCGTAAGAACGATCGCTGAGCGCTCTTTTACCATCATATATATATATATATATATTATGCGCAATTGTACAGGCCTAATGGCGTTCTGCTGAAAACCGTTGTTCGCCTCAACCGAAGTGTTTGCCAGTTGATGCAACTTTTCGCAGTACTGAAAAGCTTTGAAAGTAGTGGCCGAGCGTAGATGGCAATGTGACTGATTTGGAGGGAGGGTATCATCAAGTACGGGACGTCGTAGTTTGGTGGAGTTAGTATATTTAAACTTTCGAACTCGGTACCCAAAGCGCCCCCTTGGTAATATAGAAGTTGCCGGCCGTCTTTCTCATATGACTACGCACTTATTCGGCAACGTTACAGTAGGCAACGATAGTGAGGGTGCGGTAGCCAAGACGGGGACTGTGGTAAGTTTTACGCCGGATGCACATGCAGAAGAGCTTAGCAGGACCAATGTAACGCCAAAAACATTGCGAAACTTGCAATGGTCCAACCCTACGTTTAAAGCGCCAGAAAGCGAGCGCTAAATGAAAAAATGGGGAGAAGTGTAGGCCAGTAAAGGCGACAGAGGCCGCTGAAGAGGCGGAGATTGGCTGACGAAGGAAAGGAGAATTGTGCCAGGTCAACTGACCAATGCGAACCCGTGAAGAACTCTCAAGGTTATAGTGCACATTCTGCACTGTAATCGGTAGGGGGGGGATGGAAGGGGGTCAACAGGTAATTAGAGATTCCGCGACAAGTCGTGGTTCCACCCAAAAAAGACAAGTAATCTATCTTTTAGGATGGAAAGCTACTTTTTCATCCCAAAAATATAATGGCAGTCAGATAAATAAGGAATTAGATGGGACCTTCGACGGAAAATGTTTTTTCTCCCGGTAAACAAATAAATCGGGAAAACGTAGGAATGTAGGACTAAAACGCTAGAGTTTTTCCAAGAAGGATCCAGCAAAAGTTGAAAACAAGGGTAGGTATGGGATTAAGGAAGGAAAAGTCAATTTTTCTCGTCGAAAAATACATCATGAAACAGATAAGGAAGAGAGAGAAAAGTTGATAATTTATTAACTGAAAAATATATCAGAGAAACTTGGAGCAATATTTACCCTGAACGAATTTAAGGCAGGCATGGACAACAGAATTTATTGGTACCAGTAAATTTTGCGACGGCTTCTCAACTGCAGTCTGTTGTTGCTGATTTAGGTCCCGAAAAGTTCAACAGGAATGAAAAAAATAGGATTAAGTTGATATTTGGGAAAGATTAGTTCATTTTCATTTCTTAAAAAGTACATCAGTGCCAAAGTAAGGATTAGGTAAGGATCTAGGACGAAAACGTTAATTTTTTCTCAGAATCATCCTAATTTGTTTGGCTTAAGTTATATAGTTTGCTTCCGAACAACGCTGGCCAACGCACTGCCACAGGTTAAGCAAGTGGAAGCGGAGTAGTACAATTAGGGCAAGTGAGACCCATTAAAACATGGCTACTCGAACGCTAACAGTAGATAAGTGATGGAGCATAAAAAGTGCAAGATAGCTGTCATGCCAACAGCTACTTAGGATCACGTCACAGTTACTGCAAATGAGGATGCAGGATGAGTTGCAGATTCGAAGAACAATGCACAATAGCTCCGGTAAGTCGTGGATTTTTTCAGTGGTGTTACAAGAGACGGACACTGAAAGTTTGGGAGTCTTCTAGGAAGAAGAAAACCAAACTTCTTTGCCAATTTTCCAGTCTGACTTTTTAGCTCGTTCGAAGTGGCAGGCAAATGTGCGAGAAAACGGTTAACTTCCTTAACCATTTCAACCAAAGGATTATATAACTAGTTATAATTTGTTCTTATAGGTATCCATTGCATCCGTCGCAAGCCGACACCTTGGAGCACACGGTGGCCATCGCTGTCCAGTGTGTTTTGTATGCTGAGTTGCCAGACATCAGGTCGAAGTTATTGCTGGCGCCGGCGAAGAGCTCAATTCTTTTGGTACGTCACCCTCTGTGGTAGCGTTTAGAAAGCAGCTGTCAACGAAATGAAGTCTTGATCGTTATTTGTGAATGTTCGTGACTGTAAGTGCAGTTGCAGGTGATTTAGAAGTCAGCCACCAATCCTCCTCCTTGGCAGCGAGAACGCGTCACGACGTCTCCGTCACGATGTCTCCGTTTGGGTAATCGCCCGTCATTCATGCGCACCAGGTGGCCGCTCCAACGCAGCTATATTTGTCTCAACATGGTGTAGATGCTGAGCATTCCCGTCCGTTCCAGCACACCAGTATTGGGGATCCGATCTTGCCAGCTCAGCCTCAGGATTCGACGAAGACAGCTGAGGTGGAAGTGGTTCAGTCGGGTTGCCTGACTCGTGTACGCTTTCCAAGTCTCCGCTCCGTACAGCAGCGTCGGAAGGATGACGGCCTTGTACATCTTCAGCTACTTGCTCAGTTGGAGACCGTGAAGATTCCAAACTGTGCTTTGGAGGCGGCCGAAGGTTTGACTGGCTTTCTAGGCCCTGCGAGCGAATTCGTCGTCGATTTTGGTGTTACTGGAGAGAGTACTGCCCAGGTAGGGGAAGTTCTCCACCACTTGCAGTTGGGTTCCATTCACACTGATTTGAGGCGGCGGCGCTTTGGGAGAAACGGCTGTGTTGGGTGGCGGCGGTTGATACATGATCACCGTCTTCTGAGTGTTGATGACCAGTCTGAAGTTCTCGCAGGCGGCGGAGAAGAGGACCATGCTCCGATGCACCTCCCCTTCCGAGGTGGTGTTCAGTCGTCGGCGAAGAGAAGTTCGTGAACGGTGGTTGTGGATACGCGTGATTGGAAGTGCATCCGCCGTTGATTCAGAAGGTGACCGTCCGTCCTGTAGGCTATGCGGATCCCGGGGTGTTCATCACGGTAGGCGTCCAACAGCATGGCAGAGAATATGAGACTGAAGAGGGTGGGCGCGAGGACGCGGCCTCGATTCAGTCCGTTAGTCACTGCGAATGCCTCTGAGCCAGCTCCGTTGTCTGTGACTCGCGCCATCATGCAATCGTGGAGCTAACGCGCCATCTCATTAAGTCACTCGGGACAGCCGAATTTCTGCATGATCTTCCACAGTCCTTCGCGACTCACCATGTCGAAGGCTTTCGTTAGGTCCACAAAGGTAGAGCGCAGATGGGTCCGCATCTACTGGCACTTATTCTGCAAGTGGCGAGCGGCGACTATCATGTTGGTGGTTCCGCGATAAAGACGCAACCCGCACTTGCCTTTCGGTAGTAGACCCTGTTCCAGGTGGCTGCTCAGGCAGTTGAGAAGGATGCACCCGAAGATCTTCCCGGCCATATGCAGCGGGAAAATGCCTCGATGGCTGCCGCAGAGCTGGCGATCACATTTCCGCCTAAAGAGGTGAACATTTGTGGCGTTCTTGAAATCTGAGGGGCTTCTCCCTAACAACACATCTCCTGGAAGATTGCTGTAGGTTGACCCATGAGTTTGGGGACGCCGTGCTTATTAATCTCAGCAGGGCTCACTTCCGATCCGGGTGCTTTCCCGCTGGAGGGCTGCTGCACGGCCCTGGTGGCTTCGTGGAAGGCGGGAGGGCGATGTAGGCGTTGGTCTCCACTTGACGTAGGCGGGCTATTGCGGCGTCGATGGTGGAGGGGCAGTTAAGGACGCCTCTGAATTGTTCGGCGCAATGCTGAAGAATTTGTGTCGACGAGACAAATGCGAGTAGCCTGGGATTATGAGTCAACATTAGATAGATAGATAGATAGATAATTTTTATTAAAGACCCGTCGGGGTCCCATCAAAGCAAGTTAAAATAAATTTGCATGCGAGTTTTAGACGAGGTAGGCCGAATCTTTACAAAATGCAATTCCTAGTTTCTAAATTAGAAGTCCATTGAGAAACATGATGATTGAGGGGTGAAAAAAAAACTCCTTAGAAAAAGTTAAAAATGATTGGATTAAATTTACAGGAGAAAAAAACCCTCTTTAAAAATAATAACAGAAAAAAGCGAGCAGGACTGGCCTGTAGGTGGCGGT